AAACCACCAAAACCAGCATTTAAACCAGCAAGACCAGCATTGAAATAAGCTAAACCAGCAAAACCAGCATTAAAATAAGCTAAACTAGCAATTAATCCACCAAAACCAGCAATTAAACCAGCAAGACCGGAAATTGAAATAAGCTAACCAGCAATTAAACCACCAAAACCAGCATTGAAACCAGTAAAATCAGCATGAACATAAGCTAAACCAGTAATTAAACCAGCAAAACCAGCAATTAAACCAGCAAGACCAGCATTAAATAAAAAGCTAAACCAGCAATTAAACCAGCAATTAAACCAGCAAAACCAGCATTGAAATAAGCTAAACCAGCAATGAAACCATCAAAACCAGCAAGACCAGCATTGAAATAAGCTAAACCAGCAAGAACGGCATTGAAATAAGCTAAACCAGCATTTAAACCAGCAAAACCGACATTGAAATATGCTAAGCCAGCAAATAAACCACCAAAACCAGAATTTAAAACAGAGAGACCTGTATTGAAATAAGTCTTGCTGGTTTAAATGCTGGTCTTGCTGGTTAAGATGCTGGTCTTGCTGGTTTAGATGCTGGTCTTGCTGGTTTTCAATGCTTTTCTTGCTGGTTTAGATGCTAGTCTTGCTGCTTTAAATGCTAGTCTTGCTGGTTTAGATGCTGGTCTTGCTGGTTTCAATGCTGGTTAAGATGCTGGTTTCGATGCTGGTCTTGCTGCTTTAGATGCTGGTTTTGATGCTTCTCTTCTTGCTGGTTTCAATGCTGGTTAAGATGCTGGTTTCGATGCTGGTCTTGCTGCTTTAAATGCTGGTTTTGATGCTGGTCTTAGTGATTTGGACACTGGTCTTGCTGGTTTAAATGCTGGTCTCAGTGCTGGCCCTGACCAGCATTGAGACCAGCATTGAAACCAGCAAAACCAGCATTTAACCCGAAAAACCAACAATTAAACCAGCAAGACCAGCAATTAAACCAGCAAGACCTGCATTGAAATAAGCTAAACCAGCAATTAAACCACCAAAACCAGCAATTAAACCAGCAAGACCAGCATTGAAATAAGCTAAACTAGCAATTAAACCACCAAAACCAGCAATTAAACTACCAAAAAAGCAATTTAACCACCAAAACCAGCAATTAAACCAGCAAGACCAGCATTGAAATAAGCTAAACCAGCAAAACCAGCATTAAAATAAGCTAAACTAGCAATTAATCCACCAAAACCAGCAATTAAACCAGCAAGACCGGAAATTGAAATAAGCTAACCAGCAATTAAACCACCAAAACCAGCATTGAAACCAGCAAAATCAGCATGAACATAAGCTAAACCAGTAATTAAACCAGCAAAACCAGCAATTAAACCAGCAAGACCAGCATTAAATAAAAAGCTAAACCAGCAATTAAACCAGCAATTAAACCAGCAAAACCAGCATTGAAATAAGCTAAACCAGCAATGAAACCATCAAAACCAGCAAGACCAGCATTGAAATAAGCTAAACCAGCAAGAACGGCATTGAAATAAGCTAAACCAGCATTTAAACCAGCAAAACCGACATTGAAATATGCTAAGCCAGCAAATAAACCACCAAAACCAGAATTTAAAACAGAGAGACCTGTATTGAAATAAGTCTTGCTGGTTTAAATGCTGGTCTTGCTGGTTAAGATGCTGGTCTTGCTGGTTTAGATGCTGGTCTTGCTGGTTTTCAATGCTTTTCTTGCTGGTTTAGATGCTAGTCTTGCTGCTTTAAATGCTAGTCTTGCTGGTTTAGATGCTGGTCTTGCTGGTTTCAATGCTGGTTAAGATGCTGGTTTCGATGCTGGTCTTGCTGCTTTAGATGCTGGTTTTGATGCTTCTCTTCTTGCTGGTTTCAATGCTGGTTTCGATGCTGGTCTTGCTGCTTTAAATGCTGGTTTTGATGCTGGTCTTAGTGATTTGGACACTGGTCTTGCTGGTTTAAATGCTGGTCTCAGTGCTGGCCCTGACCAGCATTGAGACCAGCATTGAAACCAGCAAAACCAGCATTTAACCCGAAAAACCAACAATTAAACCAGCAAGACCAGCAATTAAACCAGCAAGACCTGCATTGAAATAAGCTAAACCAGCAATTAAACCACCAAAACCAGCAATTAAACCAGCAAGACCAGCATTGAAATAAGCTAAACCAGCAAAACCAGCCTTGAAACCAACAAAACCAGCATTAAAATAAGCTAAACTAGCAATTAAACCACCAAAACCAGCAATTAAACTACCAAAAAAGCAATTTAACCACCAAAACCAGCAATTAAACCAGCAAGACCAGCATTGAAATAAGCTAAACCAGCAATTAAACCACCAAAACCAGCAATTACACCAGCAAGACCAGCATTGAAATAAGCTAAACCAGCAAAACCAGCATTAAAATACAGCTAAACTAGCAATTAAACCACCAAAACCAGCAATTACACCAGCAAGACCGGAAATTGAAATAAGCTAACCAGCATTAAAATAAAGCTAAACCAGCAATTAAACCAGTAAAACCAGCATTGAAATAAGCTAAACCAGCAAAACCAGCAATTAAACCAGCAAGACCGGCATTGAAATAAGCTAAACCAGCAAAACCGACATTGAAATATGCTAAGCCAGCAAATAAACCACCAAAACCAGAATTTAAAAAACAGAGAGACCTGTATTGAAATAAGCTAAACCAGCAATTAAACCACCAAAACCAGCAATTAAACCTGCAAAACCAGCAACTAAACTAGCAAGACCGGCATTGAAATAAGCTAACTCAGTAATGAAACCAGCAAAACCAGCATTTAAACCACCAAAACCAGCAATTAAACCACCAAAACCAGAAATTAAATCCGCAAAACCAGCAATTAAACCAGCAAGGCCAGCACTGAAATAAGTTAAACCAGCAATTAAACCACCAAAACTAGCAATTAAACCAGCATTTAAACCAGCATTAAAACTGGCAAAACCAGCCTCAAAACATACCTTACCAGCATATGCTGGTTTTTCAGCAGGGTGTACATTGTATAGTCAAAAATAATACAAAATGTCAGCGCCAGTGGTGTAGTGGTTAGTGCTCACGGCGACCCGAGTTCGATATCCACCTCGTGGTCCCATCCCGATCCTTCCCCTCTCTCTACTCCCCATGCTTTCCCGTCAACACTCTCTATCGCCTGTCCAATAAAGGTGAAAATAATAACAACAATACACCATATGACACCTTGTGAAATAGCTTTTGAGGCTTTTAATACTCTCTGAGTCTCTGAGAAGTATCTCCAGTACCTTGCTGAAACTCTGCCATGAAGGATTAAGGCTACTGTAGTGAGGTGTACCTAATAAAGTGGCCGCTGAGTGTACACTGCACCTCTGATGATTTGAGGTGCTTCTTTCGCCTCTTCAAAGAGCATCCGCCGAGCGAGTAAATGAGATTGAGTTGTAAACGAGTTGAAAAACGTTAATCTTCAGAAACTGAGATTGTTTCAGCCTTTTCAGAGCAGGATTTGGTCAAAAATCTGCAAGATTATGTTAAACGATTAGGGAGTTCTGTCATTAAACTGCTTAAATTAAATTAAAATACATTTCTAGCTTAAGGTTTACATCTGCAAATCCAATCAGATGCACTTATTTGGTAAATAAAGCAAGTCCCTCATAAAATAGATCTACTACAACCGAAAGTGTACAAGCTGTGTGGTAAATAAGGCTGCGTTCACACCTGTGAATGGATTCAGTTGTTCTGAAACAGAGATTACAATTGTTACATTGTTGCTCTTTGCTCTTGGAGCGGTTCGCTTTCACACTGCAAAGTTTCTAATCAGACCAAAAGAGCTAAAACAAGTCACGTGCGAGTAAACTCTCCTCACATTGGTCAGAGTGTCACCGTACGTTCACACCGAAAGCGGCGAGAGCGTGAAAGTAGCCGGAAGTCATTAATTTTCAATGAGAGCCGGCGGCGATAGGCGACGATAAGCGGCGAGGAGCAGCGCGGCGCGTCTTCGCCGGCGTGAGCGACAAGGAGAGTTGAAATGAAGTCAACTTTATGGTAATGAGCTATGACGCGGTTCGGCGGCAAGCAATCAGAATGAAGACGTTCACCGCTTGATAGCAGTTCAGGGAACACAGACCTGTGAACTTTGGTTCCGACCACAGTTGTTCCCAAGGGTTTGATGATTGCGGTCGCCGGATTTCCAATTATTTACAATGTTTTCCTACAGGAACATACATTAAATAAGTTGCTGGCCAGTTACTGATGTTCATTAATGTTATATAAATTTATCTTGAAAAAGCGGGAATCTTACGCAATGTGACAGTACAAAACAGTACTGCTGCTTCAGGATATTTCAGACATATGGACACATATTGGATAAATAGAGCAAAGCCACACCACATGCAACTTGATCTTCCATTGTTTTATGAATTTGATAAGAAGTGCGCAACATTTTCATGCTAAAAACATGTCTTATGCAGGAATGTAACTGATATGCTGCAACGGCTCCTTTAAGTACGAGATCAATGTAGCGAGTTTTGACGCTCTCGCCGCCGGAGCTGAAGGCAGACAGCATTGTCGCCAGGGCAGCCAGAGCGACCTTGGACGCTCTCGCCGCTTTCGGTGTGAACGTACGGTCAGGGTTTATTTTGCAGCGTCCTGTTAAGCTGTCAGGAGAGGTGGTGGTTTGGTGGTGATTGACGGCGCGCGCGACATGTCTGAGGAGAGACGCGGTGGGGAGCGGTGAGAAGGGTGCGCGACGATGCCTATTTAATGACCGGGAGGGAGACGCGAGATTACCGGGAGATCATCACTCGTTTGCGGGCATCCGGAGACTCGCGAAACTTCCCACCCTACTCATAATTCTCTCTTCATATAGCCGTAAGCCTATTACATATCCATAAACACTGTGATATAACCGTGCTCGGGTCGGATCGCTTTCTCACTGCAATCGAACCGCTCTAGGGTTTGTTTCAATCGAGCCGAGACCACCTCATTCAAGCGATCTCGGAGCGATTACTTTGGCGCGGATCTTTGCCCTGTTCACATATGCCAAACGAACCGCGCTAACTGGGCAAACGAGATACGTTCCGAAACAAAAGTGTAGGTGTGAAAGCACCCTAAATCATGTAAAAACTTACTGAAACTGATAAGTTTCCCTCCACAGCTTTACGTAAGTACATAACCAGACTGACTGATGTGCTAAATATTAAATTACGACACAAGTCAAGTCTCCACGTGGAGCTCCTTTAATTCTCCGCAGAATGAACAGATTCCCGGTGTGAACTCTCTGACGCATCATCAGATGTCCGTGTGTGTTGGGAAGATATTCCCAGTGTGTGTACGACCGGATGCTGATTCCTCATGTGCACATTGAGGCAGATTTCATTGCTGAGACTCTTCCCGCACAGGACGCATATGCAGGATTTCTGCTCCGAGTGGGTGTTGATGTGGTAATTGAGGTTTCCCTTGCAGATGAAGCTCTTCCCGCACTGGTCGCACTTGAAGGGCTTTTCCCCGGTGTGAATGGCCATGTGGATCTTGCGGCTGGTCATGTTGGTGAAACTCTTGCTGCAGATGGTGCAGGCGTACGGCTTCTCTCCGGTGTGATCTCTCAGGTGGATCTTGAGGTTCTGCTTCTTGCTGAAGCTCTTTCCGCACTCGGGGCAGCTGAAGGGTTTCTCCTCGCGGTGGATGTTCATGTGCTCCTGGAGCGTGACCTTCTGGATGAAGCTCTTGCCGCACTGAGGACACATGTAGGGCTTCTCCTTGGTGTGGATCTTCAGGTGCCGGTTGAGGTTGGATTTCTGCGCGAAGCTGATCCCGCAGAGATCGCAGGTGTACGGCTTCTCTCCTGTGTGGACTCGCGTGTGTTTATCGAGGTGTCCTTTCTGAGCGAACGTCTTCCCGCACTGATCGCACGTGTACGGCTTCTCCCCGGTGTGGACTCGCATGTGCACCTCGAGACTTGGCTTGAGGCTAAACGTCTTTTCACACAGGCCGCAGGCGAATACGCCGTTAGGTCTGGTCACGTTAGGCTGCGTGTACTGTCCTGCAGTCATGAAATCCTGGTGTTGCCCATACCGATCCGTCTCTTCCACGTCATCGCTCTTTATTTTCACCACCAGGATGTCTGAAGAGAGGAAATGGAAATGAATAGAAGTTAACCCGAGTCACTAAACAACAAAGGTAAAGCATCTACGCAACATAACCGACGATGATCACTCTAAAACATCTTATAAGTTATCGTATAATCTCTTACGTGGTCGCCCACTGAAGCCAAGCAGGGCTGAGCCTGGTCAGTACCTGGATGGGAGACCACATGGGAAAGCTAGGTTGCTGCCAAAAGCAGTGTTAGTGAGGCCAACAGGGGGCGCCCAACCTGCGGTCTGAGTGGGTCCTAACGCCTCAGTATAGTGAAGGGGACTATATACTGCTCAGTGAGCGCCGTCTTTCGGATGAGACGTTAAACCGAGGTCCTGACTCAGTCGTTAAAAATCCGAGGATGTTTAACCCAGCATCCTGGCCAAAATTTGCCTACTGGCCTCCTTACCAGCTGGTGTGTGGTCTGGTGCAGTATGGCTGCCGTTGTGTCTGGTGGTGGATGAGAAGATTCAACCCAATGCGTATAGCGCTTTGAGTGTCCAGAAAAGCTCTATATAAATGTAAGGAATTATTATTATTATTATAAGCACTAAAGCTTGATCCTTTTTAGAGTGGAGTGCCTCAGGGCTCAGTATTGGGCCCCCTGCCTTTCTCATTGCACTTAGTTGCTGTTATTATGCAGATGATACCATTATTTGAGGCTAAACTCTCTCATTTCAGGTATTAGTACAGCATTAATCATGATCTCTTATTGTTGCGCAATATCATATATTTATATGTACAAGTTTTACATTTACTTTCAAATTGAATCAGCTATTATTATTGATGTTGCATTAATAAACCACTGCAAACACCGATGACTGATTGCCATCAGCTGTTTACCATCAGAATTTTAAATGCGTTTAAAACATTGTTTACATTGTACAGAACCTTTTACGCATATGTTCTCATGAGGTCACGGGTTCGAGTCAGAAGGTCCTTATTGACCTTATTTGGAATGGTCATGAATATTAATGAGCTCTGATGTGACTCTCTAATGCTGCGTTCATATCAGACGCAGATGAATCAAGCGCGAGTGATTTACATCTGAAGTCAATGCAAAGATGGGAACAGACATCCTGCGGCGCGATTCGTGTGAATAAAGTGGCGCGAGTTGACCGTTTTGCGCGTTTGACGCACTCATCGCACGAATCTAGGTTACAATAGTTTTGGATTTTACATTAGTTTTGGTTTTTGTTTAGTTAGACTTTTAGTTTTCAAACTCAATCAGTTTTAATTAGTTTTAGAGGCAAATTCACGAGTTTTTAATAGTTTCTATGTTTTGAAAATGCTTCGTTTTAGTTTATTTTTTTGCTATTTTCAGTATTAGTTTTGACTAACTGAGTAGATGCCGTGTTAAAACTGCAGCGGAGGAGATGTATATAATGACTCATGAATATGAACATAATGTCTATAAAAACACAGCCAGAGATTAATATCGACCTCTGCATAAGCAGAATTTATTAAATCTATGTTGTTGCTAGGGCTGCTCGATTATGGGAAAAATCATAATCACGATTATTTTGGTCATAATTGTAATCATGATTCTCCCTTCTGTGAATTTATATTTATATATTTTATATATTTTTTATATATTTAAATATTTTATATTTATATCTTTTTTTTACTTGATGTTTAACAGAGGAATTTTTTTTTACAGTATTTTCTATAATTTTTAAATATTTAGAAACCTATTTCAATAGCTCAATATTATTAGCCCCTTTAAGCAATATATATTTTTGATTGTATTCAGAAAAAAACTACTGTTATACAATGACCTGATTACACTAATTAAGCATTTGAATGTCACTTTAAGCTGAATACTAGTATCTTGAAAAATATCTAGTAAAATATTGTTTACTGTCATCATAGTAAAGATAAAAGAAATCGGTTATTAGAAAAGAGTTATTAAATCTTTAGGCATCTTCACTGTAAGAAAAAAACTTTAGCTACAAAAAAGTCCTTCAGTCAACTAGTGAGGGATTTCGCCCTTTTGTTTGATTAATAATGATAAAAACAGTCGGCAGCAAGGATTATGCGCGCTGTCACTTTAAGAATAGTGTGGCTCTGATATGGTTTCTCTTTCACGTGCTCTTTCGCGCTATTAAAAATATGAACGATTCAAACGTACATCAATGAATGATGCGCATCCCGTGCTGCAGACGTTACATCACAGCACATGCTTTTAGTCATTTTCACGTGAAACTGATCTTTGCAGAGTACAGCTGGAAAGGGGGCGGTATAGGATGCAATAATCGTTTATCTCGATTAAGGGTTTTTCATAATCGTTTGAAGCCATAATCGAAATCGAAACCGGATTTTCGATTAATTGCACAGCCCTAGTTGTTGCTGTCCTTTCACTTTAAAAAATTACATTAAGAGCGGATGAGATGACACAATGTCTGCGGGAATCACTGAAGAACAAGGAAACTAGTTGGCTTGGTGTTACTGTATAATTTTAATTTTTTTAATTAATTTTAATAATTTTAATTTTAAATCACTCCGCGTTAAGTCCGCATTCCCACAAGATATGTGCATTCATAGAGCTTCAGCTGTTAATGCAGCTGTTGGGATAAATTGCAGACCGTCTGTGTGTTTCCTCAGTAAGCTGGAGCTCCAGGAAGGCAACAACAACTGAGAGATGTGAATCCAACAGTTTATTGCTCTCTTCTAAAGAAGACTGGGGTATTCCCAGCTTTTATAAATCATACTCAGGGTTACATGGGCTATGAATACGTGCAAATATTCAGCTCAGTTAGGCAGAACAATTTTATCCAGTGCTCAAGAATGTCAAGGCGCAACGTCAAGGCGCCTAGTACAGGGACAACTTACAATAAGATAAAACACAGTTACAAAACAGAATATTTGGAGAATGACTACATGGATATTTCTTTCAATCCCCTCTTCCAGGCTCTGTTTTTTTACAAGAGCCTGGATCATACCATATTCTCATAAACTCTATTTGTTAAATGGTAACCCTCAGTTCCATTCATAGCTAAATGTTCATAACCCTTTACCTAAGGCATTAACCATCCTATACATTCGTTCCATAAAACATCTCAGAAGACATGGACCAAAAATACATACACATAAGAAAATAATAAGTACCGGTACTACCATTGAGACATATGGAGCCAATGATCCAAACAGGCTTTCTAAAAATCCCCATCCCCAATTAAAATTTCTTTCCTTCATCTCATCCTTATACACCTGTGATGATATCCTTTTCATGCCTTTACAGCTTGTCCTACTCGTCCAAGATCCTCATCATCCGCGGGAACGTAAGTGCAGCATTGGCTCTCTCCGACCAGGGAGCGGACCCCGCCCCTTTCCGCTAAGAGCATGTCCAGAGCCAGTCTGTTTTGCATAGTCATTAGTCTCAGAGCTCTCATCTCCTCTCTTAGTCCAGAAATGGCATCCGTGGTACTGTTTATAAAAGAGGCCAGTCTATAATGCATGATCTCTTGCTGTTTTAAGGCATCTGCCACGCCAAAACTGGGAATCATAGCCTCCCAGAATCTAGTCCAGTGTGATCTCATACGGTGTTCGTCGGGTACGTCGTCCTGGGGAACTGACCTCCGTTCCCTTCCGAATTGTCTGGCAAGATGCATGACAGTGACCATGTGTTGTAATTGGATCACAGTACAAAGACCAGTCCAATTGGTGGGGTAAGTGTTGAAGATGGTTTCTCCCCCACAATACCAGTACCAGTCATCGGCCAGGACCGCATCCTGTCTCGGCCAAGTGGGGACACAAGTTACATTGCTGCGTTGACAGTATGTGTTGTTCAGGTTGTAACATGCCGTGACAGCTGTCTCATTTGTGATATTAGCACATTTAAGTTTGTTCAGTTCACAGGTGCCTGGGATGTAACGTGGACAAACACTTAGTAGAGAACTATATTTTTTATTCTTTCGCCACGGTAAATATACCCCTGAAAATCGATCCCTTTCGCCAATTACTATATTACAATCTTTAGCTCTTAAGGTGGATACATTAACTCCATTTGTCCCATTAAAGCAAAAAGAAAAAGTGAACCCCTGGGGTTTCGTCAACTAATATTCAAACCCATAGTTCTAGGTGTAGGTATTACAACAGAATGACTCTTTCTGCTAGTTGATCTGCAAAGGGGCTCCCATGTTTTCTTGTTAGAAACACATGTGGGGCGCCACTCATAAATATCTCCCAAAGCATTTGTGCAAAAAGCAAGTTTAGTACATGTAAAAGGCAAAGGTTTCAAGGATATAGTCACAGCAGAGGAGAACACTTCTTGGCAGACAACACATGACTCATTGGTTGTCTGTCGTGCAGTCCAGTTAGCATACTGCCAGAATAAGTTGTGTACTTCAGTGTGGGCCTGTGTCAGTCCCAGTAGGGTTATCAGTAGAAGTAGTCTGCAAAACAAAAACTATTAATATCATATCATAGACATTTACTTCAATGGTTTCACTCTGGTGCCATGGATCCACTGTGGAAAAAGATCAGTTAATACAGCAGTGCGTGTAACAGCCAGAACCTCAGCTGGCCCTTCGTATTTGGGGTCAGTTAAATCTTTCTGGGGTTTTATATCTTTTATTAGCACCTTGTCCCCTATCTGGAAAGGGTGTGCTGCCTCAAGTGGAATTTCAGGGTGTTTCTTTGTTACCCTTTCCCAATACTGATTAAGTTTCTGAATTAGGGCCGCTGAGAATTCTGATATGTGGTTAGAAAGCTCAATACCCACTCCCATAATTCCCCCTTGCCATGGGATAGGGAAAGGTCTTCCCATGACCACCTCATATGGTGATAAAGAATCCAAATTTGCTTGTGGTGTCATTCTCAAATCTGC